CAAGTCTTTTGTGTGCTGTGGTAGATTGATCCCCAGAAATTTTATGCATTTTGTAGTTCTTTGGAATGAGATTCACTTTCTATTATTGCTTCTTGTGTTTTTGTTTTTTATTATGTAGAAATGCAATTGATTTTTTAGTTATAAAATAACTTGCAACTTTGCTGAAGTTTTCTCAGCTGGGGAAAGGGAATAAGCATTTTTATAATGCCTACTATATGCCAGACACTGTGCTAAGCACTTTTTATGAATGTAATCTCATTTGATCCTCAAAACAACTCTGAGAGGTAGGTATTATTATTATTATTATTATACCCATTTTACAGTTGAGGAAACTGAGGCAAACAGAGGTTAAGTGACTTGCCTAGGGTCACACAACTAGTAAGTATCTAAGGTCACATTTGAACTCAGGTCTTCCTGACTTTAGGTCCAGCATCCATTGCTCTACCTAGCTACATCGGTGGCATTAGTATTTTGCTGATTCCTTAGGATTTTCCAAGTATGCTGTCATATCATCAACAAATAGAGATAGTCTTATCTCATCTTTATTTATCTTTATGCTTTTAATTTCTTTCTTTTGTTTTATTGTTGTTGCTAGCATCTCCAAAACTATATCAAATAATAGCGAGGAAAGTGGAGATTCTTGTTTCATTCCTGTGTTTATTGTGAAAGGTTCTGGTGTATCCCCATTGCATATGATGCTTGTTTTGGGTTTTAGATAGAGGCCTTTTATTTTATGCCTATACTTGGTAAGGTTTTTAGCATATAAGAGTGCTATATTTTGTCAAAGATTTTTTTCATCATCTTTTGAGATAATCACGTGGATTGGGATGTTTTTGTCTTTAATATCATTAATTATGTTGATTGGTTTCCTGCTGTTTAACCTGCATATCTGATATAAATCTCATTTGGTCATAATGAGTAATTTCTTGGATAAATCAGTGTTTGACAGGATTTTGTTTACAATTTTTGAGTCAAAAATGAAAATATGTTTTGCATGACTGCACATGTATAACCTATGTCAAATTGCTTGCCTTCTTAATGAGGGGGGACAGAACAGAGGAGGAGATTTGGAGCTCAGAATTTAAAAAAAGATTGTTAAAAATTATTTTTACATGTAATTGGGGGAAATAAAATATTAAATACAAAGGGGAAAAAAATAAATTTTTGAGTCAGTATTCATTAGTGATATTGGCCTATCATTTTCCTTCTGTGTTTTTTCTTTCCCTGATTTGAGTGTTAGAACTATATTTGTCTTATAAAAGGATTCTATTAGGGTGCTTTCTTTTTCAATTTTTTTTATGACAATTTGTGAAGTATGGACACTAATTATTCTTTAAAAGTTGGATAGAATTCTCCTGTGAATTCATCAGGACCAGAAGTTTTTTCATTTGGTAGATAGATCCTTTACAGCTAGATCTATTTCCTTTTCTGAGATTGGGTTAAGATCTCTCTCTGTGTCTCCTCATAGTTTGGGTACTATATAATTTTGAAAGGTAATCCTCTATTTCTTTTGTGTTTTCAATTTTGTTAGCATATAACTGTACTTGATATATTCTGAACATTTTTATTTCTTCAGGTTTTATTGAGATTTCACCTTACTCATTTACTGTTTAATTGATTTAATTTTCTGCCCTCTTCTTTTTAATCAGATTAATTAATAGGTTTATCAAAATTTTTAGTCTTTTCAAAGAACCAGATTTTTCTTTTATTTATTATTTCGGTTTTTTAAAAAATTTCCAATTTATCTGTTTCTGTACTTTCAAATAACTCCTCTTGTGCCTATTTTAGGTTTATTTGTTGGCTTTCTAATTTTTAAAATGCTTATTCAGTTAATTAATTCTCTCTTTTTCTATTTTTTTAATGTATGTTTGTAGGAATATAATTTTTTTCCCCCTGAGGACTGCTTTAGCTGCAACCCAGAAATTTTGGTATGTTATTTCATCATTATAATTTTCTTTGGCTTAATTATTAATTGTTCCCATGATTTGTTTTTTGACCCACTCATTATTAATATTTCATTTTTAAGTCACCACTTGCTTCTCTGTCTTTTGTTTGTGGTCCCTGACTATTTTTTTATTCTGTTATATAAATATATTCTATAAAGAATATATTTAATATTCCTACTTTTTTTACATCTGTTTGCAATCTCTGTGCCCTAACACATGCTTTTTTGTTTACATGTAGTGCTGAGAAATATGTATATTCTTTTGCCGTCCCATTTAGAAGATGTCATAAGTCTTTTACCTGTAGTTTTGCCAGCAGTTTGTTCAATTTCATGTTTTCCCGTTTCTTTATCTTAACTGCTAGACTTCATCCAAAACTGAGAGCAAGATTGTCACTGTTGTGTTGTCTTTGTCCTCTTGTAGATCAGTTAATGTTTCCTTTATGAATTTGGGTGCTAAGACATTTGGAGCATATGAGTTTTTTTTTTACTGATATTGGTTTATTATATCTTTGGTTCCTTTTAGCATAGTGTAGTTTCTTGTTTATGCCTTCTGATTTTTTGATGTTTTTACTTAGTGAGATAGCAAGATTGCAACTCCTGCATTTTTTAATTCACTTGATGCATAGTAAATATTTTTCCATTCCTTCAGTCTTATTTTGCTTATGTCTTTGTTTTTTAGATGTATTTCTTATGACCAGCAGATTTCAGAGTTTTCTTTTCTTATCCAATCTGTTATTCTTTTTCATTTTTTTGAATTGTTTAATCTAGTCACATTTAAAGTTATGAGAGTTAGGTTTATGTTTTCCTCCATTTATCTCTAATATTTGGGTTTTTTCAAGTTAAGATTTCTCCCACTCTTCCATTGTAAACACAGTCCTGTTTCTTCAGTTATTTTAGCTTAATCTTTTTTTTTTTTAAATATGACCCTGTTCCTCCTGACTGTCTTCCCCTCACCCCCAATCCTCTCCTCCTGCTTTTTTACTCTTTTCCCTTTGGAGTTTTGTTTCTTAATTCCATTTTATTTCCTGCTTTTATCTAGTTATTTAATTCTTCCCTTTTTTTCTCATTTAGTCATGTAGATTTCCCTTTCCTCTCTTTCCCTTCAATTCCTGTTCATTAGGTTTTTTTTTAATTTCATTTTTTTCACCCCTTTCCAGAGAAGACTTCTCTGACTTAATTATCCATCCTCTCGTTCTGCCTATTCTAGAGCCTCATTCTCTGGTTCATGACCCCAGTAATCATCTAGTCCCTCTCTCTTCTCCACATTCTTCATGGAATCAAACTTGCAGAGCTATCTATTCTGGGCTCTCCCCACTATGTAGTTCCTGCCATTTAGAGAGCTTGTTGTCTCTTGGATTCTTCTTTTCACTGTTCCTTACTCACATACCCCACCCTCATCCGTGATTATACAGCACATCATTGATTTACAGTTTGCCGTGAGTTACTTTTTTTCCCCATTTGCCTCAAAATCTCCTCCCTGGGGCCATGCCCTCCCACTCCCCCAGGTGTCATTTGCTCCCAGAAGTTCCAACTCTCCCTCTTCCCAGGTAGGATAAGTTGTCTTTTCAAGCACCAAATCTCCCAGACAATACCCAATACAAGGTCCACATCTCCTTTCACAGCATATTACTCTTATCCCATCAGAATACTCTTCAGTGGAATCCCCTGCTACCACCAAGGCAAGTCCTTTTTCCTTTTTCCCTTTTGTCAGTCTTTCCCCCTTCTTCTCTGCAAGATCTTTTCCTCAGAGACAACAGAGGTCACCTTCTCATCGATAGCCTTTGATTTGACCTGGGCACATCACACACTCCCCTCTATCCCCCTATCTCCTTTCCTCTTTGTACCCACTCCCACTTTATAATGTAGTCCTACAAAAACCGTTGATTCTGTCTGTAGGCAGGGTGTCACCAGATTCTGTTCATAATGGGCAGAATCTTCACTGTTCTCTTCACGGTTACTTCTGCCTGACTTCTACCTTCGTCCCTGTCTCCTTATGCACATTTAGAAAGACGTCTCTTCCTGTTCTCTGCTGGTGCTCTGTTACTGTTGCTGTCCTTGGATGCTGCATTCATTCACTCCTACAATTCTGTCATTTGGGGTGTTCAAAAAGCAAATAACCTCTTTGGTTTTGGTTTTCTTTCTAAGAATGTTTCAAACACCTCTCTATTATTAAATGTCTATCTTGTTTCATTGATGGGTCAGCTGAGATTTTCAGAGTAGATCACACTGGGCTTAGTTTGCAAGTATTTATTCTTAGATGCCTGAACTCATTTACCACATCTGCAGACAGTATTTCCTTGTGCTGTTGAGTTTTCCCCGTTGATTGAAGCAGTTCAGGGTTTTTGATTTTTCTTCTTCCTAAGACCCTTGGCAATTTCAGCTTTCCTCCCCTATTTTTCCTCCTTGCTCACTTTCTGACTCTTTCCTCTCTGATAGTCGGTTCCCTCGGGGCTGGATCCAGAAGGTCTCAGCCTCCTCTAACAATGGGCAGTGCATGGTTCACCAGCCTCAGTTTCTGTCTCACTTGACTTATGGTAGGGTGGAAGAGAGCCCAAATTGGCCCTGGCTGGATGCTTGGCTGTTACCTCAGGCTAGATAAAGCACCACACAGTCCACTCTCATCCAGTGTCCTGTTGCAGGGTCCTCTCCCACGCTTTCTGTTCCCCAGTTCTCTAACCTGTCACTAGCTGATAAGAATGCTGCCCTGCTGGTTCTATGCGGTTGGTTTCTGTAGTTTAGGTCTCATTGGCTTTAGAACAAAGTTGGGCCCCATTTCAAGTGCCCAACCCCTTTCCCTCCACTGTCCTGCAGAGATTAGTTGCAATGCAGAATGATGCTGTCATAGCTGTCAGCCCAGATCTCCATGGTCTTGGAAGGAGGGTGGGGTGAACAGGCTGTAGGCATGGGTTCTGTGGCAAACCTGTTGATCTGATCTTTGGGTCACTTAGTGTGACCTTACTGCTCATCACATGTTGAATGGTCAGGTGGGGGTGTGGAATGAACTTAAAGGAGGAATCTTTTTTTTAACCTTCTTTTGGATTCTGGGTGTCCCAGACCAGGGAGACAGCTGACATTGCTTTATTTTTGGCACATATGCTTTATTTTTGGCACATAATTTCTGTTTTAGGGAGGTTTGGGAGGTCATGGGCATCAGAGAAAATACCTCATCCATTATCTTGTTGCTCATATGGCCAGTAATCTCTTCCCCCACCTCCCACACTACTTGTAAAAACTGTGTGGATCTTTTTGTACTTCAACACAACCACAAATTGTTACCATTTTATAATATGATTTCACATTTAAACTCTTACAGTAGATCAGTAAACACACTATGCCTTGAATTCAGCTACATCCTGGGAATGGACTTTGTTATGGTGTTGATTGCCAAGAACTAATGAATAGGTTCCCAGGCCTCCCATGCTCTCAGAGGTCTTGTGGGCACCACTGGCCAATTTGTCCTGCACTGACTTGCACACAGTGGGCCATGTAGCATTAGTGCATTTAAGCTGATAACTTAATAGTGAATACCATATGTTGCATGGTAGCTGAGGGAGCCTACTTTGGGCAGTTACTTTGCATTTCCTGTCTTCACATTACTTTCACGTGACAGATTTGCATGCTTTTTAAGTGTTCTCCTTTTAAGATATTTTACCAAAGTTGTCCAGTTCATTTTCCCTACACATTTATCTCACACCTATTCTCACATCCTTATTGATCAGGTTAATGGGTGATAATAATCATTTAAAGCCACAAATAGTTCAAAAGCCTTGCTTTATCCCGTAGTGTCAACTTTTTCTTTCTTCTAACTTATTCAAGGCAGCAGATTGTGGAAAGAGCAGTAATCTTGATGCCAGAAGATCTGAGTTCAATCCTAGGTCCACCACCTAAAAGCTATATGACTAATCAAATAAGTTCCTTAATTTCTCTGAGCCTCATCTGTTCTGTAAAATGAAGAAAATAGCATATTACATACATCCCCAGGGAATCAAATGAAGCACTTTATAAAGTGCTTCTAGAAATTTGAGATGGTTTTTTGCTTTTTTACTTACCGGGAGCGGAATTGAACTTTCAATTCTCTCCTCTACCCTCCCTACTTTCTGGTAAAGATGGCAAAGAAATGGTGGCCGAAAGTGATGGGAAGAACTAATAATAACCCACATTTCTATGGCACCTTAAGATTTACAAAACATTTTACAAAGAGTCTTGGAACGTTGATAAACTGGATTGTGAGTCCTGAAGCAATTGAAAGTTGACATTAGTTAGAATGAAGGCTGGTAAAACTGAATCCTACTGAAGAAAATGACTTGGTAGTTATTTGCTGAAGCCTAAGATACAACAGGCAGAGCAGCCATTCTGGTGTCTAGGTCTCTTTCCTGCGTCCCTAGTTTCTGCATGCAGGCTTTGCAAACCATTACTGGGCCTCATTCAGTGTAACCACCATCGTCCCAGAAGACTAGAACCTACGTCTCCTGACTCCTGGAGTCAGTATATACACAGCACCAAACTTAGAACGTGGCTCTTCCATTTCTTCATATAAGGATGCTCAGTTCTTTCAGGAAGAGCATGGCGGAGAGGAAAGAGGATGATTTTGGTGTTTCTCTTCTTTGCCCGTTTTCTGCCAAACCTGAAATTGGCTCCTGGGAAGCACGATCTGAAAGGCAATGGTTCTGTCTTAGAACTTCATAATCTATGGGGTTGACCACCAGGATCTTTTGTTTGACCACAGGGAGGGAAGTCATGCTAGTCCTATAATCAATAACCCCTGTCCTTCCTGTTTTCATCTCTCTTCTCTTGGGACTCTCCTGACCCTTGTGGGAGTTGTGGGAAGGCCCCAAGTGCCACTGCTGTTTTTGCTGAGCAGATAGTTTCCCAACGCTTTTTATTATCCAAACATAAATCACATCTTCAGCCCATGGTGTGGTAGGTTTTCAGTGGAATTTGGCTGTGATGACTGAGCATCGAATGGCCTATTCCTGAGGACTGGAGACCCCTAGTTCACAATTGATCTTGGCCACAGTTCCCAGGAAAATAAGTGATGTCCTTTGAAAGCTTGGGATCCTCTTTGTGCTTTCCTAGGAGATACTGAGTGCCTTTTAAGCTCAGTTTGATTAATATTTATTGAATGCCCTTGGGACACATAGCATTTTACAATATTGGGTGGTGGTAAAGGAAATCAGTTTTAATTCTGAGCTAAAGAAGAAAAGGTCACTAGGAAAATCTAATTTTCCTTTAGTATAGAATCCAGTGTTGTGGCTGGATTTTTTGTTGTTAAGAGGTATGCTTAAGAGGTTGAAACTTCCACCAGGGATCAAATGGGACTGCCCATGCCATAGCCCCAGAGGATTTCCCATGTCCATAAGCTATACCAGGTAAAGGGTCTTTCAGGATTAATTCCTTTTTTATTTTATTTTTTATCTATAATGCTACTGCAAAAATTTTTTGGCATTTAGGAAAGTCATCCAGGTAAAGCCCATGGAGAGTTATTCACCTAGACCAGATGTATTTCTAGTTCAGTTCCAGATTAATAATGATGTTATTTACATAGACATGGTCCAAAAGTAAATTGTTGAACTAACCAAAATAGCACATTATAGCATTTCAGCACTAGGGGCTTTTGCTACAGTATGATAACAAGGATGTTAGTTATAAAGTTATGATCCTTCTTGTTAGGGTAATTTGGTGGTGAGGAACTAGAATAGCTTCAGTGTAGAAGTTGTATATTTCCCATGAGCCATAGCTGTCTATTTCCTTTTGAAGATCTCAGAAGAGTTGTGGATTTGTATTTTTGGGGTGAACTTCTCTTGCTATGTAGTTTAGTGTCAGGAAATATTTGATGTCTTTTTTTTTTAAGTCTTTTTGCTCTGAAGATTATTTTCTGATTATTTTTTTCTTTGCTCTGTTTCTTCTTGCCTTTTTGTTCATTTACTGAGTCACCAACCCATGTTCCAGAAATGTATAGCAGAGAAGAGAGTGACTGAGAACCAGGGCATGAGGGATGCCAAGGCCCGTCCATAATTTTACCAATCCTACAAACATCCTGGAGTCACAACCTAGAAAGAGATTTGCACTCCTGCCTCCCAGGACTTGAGTGCCAAGGAGTTCATCTTGGCCTAATTGGGGAGCCTGAAATTTGGGCCTGGGGAGGTTTATCACAGCTGGTGGTCTGTCACAGCTGTCCACTTCATTCTGGCCCCACACACAGTTCTGCCTCTGTCCAATCGAAGTTTTCCCCATCCTCCCTGTGGGAGGATGGTGGTTACACTGAGTGAGCCCCAGTAATGGTTTGCAAAGCCTGCATACAGAAACTAGGGACCCAGGGGAGAGACCTAGACACCAGAATGGCTGCTCTGCCTGTTGTATCTTAGGCTTCAGCAAAAAAGGGATTATCACAGAGGTTTGGTCTAGAGCTCTGGGAAATAATAAAGTGTTGCTTGAGAGAAAAGCAAATGAGATCAAAAAAAAAAAAAGACAAGTTTTCTTCCTTTGTGAACCAGAAGGATTTGGCTGGAATGTATCGTGTTAGACAATTCAGTCTTCATACCTTGTTAAGAAGAACAATTGATTTTTCCACCAGAGAGAGTGACTACAACAGATTTAAAGGATGTTTTGAGGTATGGAAGGCCTTTTTCTCCCCTTTCTCCTCTTACCTGGGTTTTACCATTGAAAATAACAGAGAATAATCTAGCAAGGTCTGCCTTGATCTCTAGGCAACCATACATTTTGATATTAAAGGTAGGAATCCCCAGATTTTGGATTTCCTCCACCCACCCCCCTGCAATTCTTTCATGGTTCACCCTTTTCTCACTTGGGTTATGAAGCTAACATCCTGTGAAAATCTATCATGTTCCAGAACTGCCTTGGCAAAAAGTGTATTTGGCCACCTGGTCTCCCTATAAATTGTCCTTATCTATAAAGAAGTCACATAGTATGAAGCTCCAGCCCCTGGGGAGAACTTTGCCCTCAGGTCCTAGTGGGTGAAGATGGTATGAGAAAAGGAAAGTGTGCTCCTTGCTTAAGAGAGATAAATTCATGGTACCTTTTCTTGTCTCTGACACAAGAAAAGCAAAATTCCCAGGAGCTGGACCAAAGGGCACAGCATGCCCCCAAACTCTGCCCATAATTCCCCTGTTCTCCCAGGCATTTGAGACCCTCTGGAGCCAGCCTGAAGGTCTTAATTAAATATTAGGGTGTGCTTGTGATGAGTCCCTCTTAACAATACAGCTGGGCTTTATATTATTTTCTTTTCCCTTGGGAGGTGAAACCAGGTCTGCCCTTCTGTTGCTTTACTCCTGGCACCTCCTTAGCCTATCCTCTCAGGTGGAGGCAATCTGTTCTAATTAAGCTAAGGGGTATTTGTGGGCCTTAACTTGATTTCTATTTTTGTGCTATGTTTTTCTATCCTCCCCCACTTCCTGCTTTTGTTAGGGTTTCTTGATGTGTGGCAAAGCTCTAGAGTTGGGTGGCATTCACGTTGAAATCTACATTTCAGCTTGTCATTTCCCCACACTGGTAATTGTTTTAGTCAAAATAAAGTTGCCTCCTGAAGTCTCTGTGGAATCTAAGCCAGAGTGACCAGGACAGCTCTCAGCCAGAGATCCCAGAGTATCTAAGAGAGAAGGTGGGCTTAGCTAGATTGAGTTGTTTGTTGTCACATCATAATATTATTTCATTCACTGTAGGACGTGGCCCCTATTGAGGCTTTGATTTCCTTGTTTACTCAAAAGTTTCTCTGATTACAGTACTCTAAGACTAGCCTGGATCTCCCGTGACCTCTGAGACCACAAGGAAGAAATATAGTTTTGGGGGAAATTTAATCTTAAGTCTCCAGAAAATTCAAACTAGCCCCCATCTCCCATTGGATCAGTTTGAGCAGAGAGGTCTTGTTCCTTCTCGTTTTCTCCTGCTTTCTAAGTGACTTTTGTAACCAAGTGCTTAGGGCCTGAACAAGCAGTAAGTCTCATTCAAAGAAGGGGATAGTTTAAGCCATGGACACTTTCTGGAGTTGTATTGAAGCTGTTACACATGGCTTCATGGCTTCCACCCCCAGATCTGCAGTGTGTCCCTTTAGCAGCTTCCCTTCTGCGTTCCCAGCCTTTTCTCACGGCCTCAGAACCAGAATATATATAGCCTCTTGGACACAGCTACAAAGACCTATGGAATTTAGAAAATAGTGGTGAATTATCCTGGCTCCTTGGGCCCTGGAAGCTAGCTGACCTATAAGGTCTGAAGTAGGCATTAGCCATATGGCGCTCACCCCCAGTGCCTCCCCTTCAGACTGAAGCCCTATGAGGACGAGGGGGATGTGGCTTCATAGAGTGGCAGCCAGATGTAAAATGATCCACATCCTGCTACTGATTTCCAGTGAGGCCTTGGACAAATGTTTTGATTTCTCATGGGCTCAGTTTCTTCCTATGTAAAATGAGGCTAATAATCCTTATGTTACTTGCAGAAGTGTTGTGCTCCAGTGGCTCTGACCTCACCGATGTGCACTTCTTTCACTGGTTCAGATTGCAGCTCATCCACGCCTTCTTCTCTCTTGTGATGCTTGTCTTTTGTTGTTTCATAGATCCTGCAGCAAGAAACCACCTTATGTATGAGAGGTTTTTCTCTACATTTTTTGTCATTTTGAGGGTGAGGGTGCCAGTGGCGCATTTGGGCTAGGCATCCGTTATCCTTCACTTGTATTTTATGACTAACTCACCTCCTTTTCTGACTGCACATTTTTTAGACCTAGATGATATATCCCTTAGACATGAGAGGCAGTATAGGACAGTGGTTGGAGAGTAGCCTCAAAGTGAAGAAGACCCAGGTTCTAGGCCATCTCTGACGTGTTGGTTCTGTGTCTTGAAGCAAGTCATTCTACCTCTCAGTAACCCCTAGGTAATTCCATTAAGGCTGCAAACTGCAGAACAGTTGCCATTGGTAGTGGAAGCTTCCCCCTTGGGTGCTCTCTGCACCAATGAAATTATAGATCTTGGAGGGAAAAAAAAAATCCCTCATTCCACTTGTGGGTTGTAGGCAATCACTGAAAATATTCTGTAGCACATTGTTTTACACATACACACATAATTATTATAAGTACTGTGCAATTTCCTAAATTCTAGCCTACTCTCTTTCTGCTGTTCAGTTCATTGACTATCTGTAATGCATCTACCTGCTGCCCAACTGTGCACTGATGTCTTGATTCAACAAGCTGACCAGTCATAGGTATGTCACAATGTAGTCAATAGGAATTTTACGTCCATTCAGTTGGTTCTGTATAGATTATTGGGTAATCTTATGTCTCGTCATGGGGATCCTTTCGTGTTCTGGAGCTCAGTGCCATCCAAACAATATTCACAAACAAGAAGATCTAAAGGTCACGTAAGGGATCTTTGTAAGACATCATTCATGACAGAAGTAAGCACCTTTGATAAATATACATATCTCCATTTTATGCCTTCTTGATGTTAAAGTAGGTCACTGAACAGAGGTTATGATGATCTTCCTCTGTGTTCTGTATGAATCAAATGTTCCAAGAACCTTGAGAGGGAATGAGCTTTCTTGTGAGGTTGGATAACCATTTTTCAAGGGTGTGGTAGAAGTTACAGGTTGTATTCTTCTGAGGTCCTTCCCAACTCTGAGATTCATCCTACTTACCACTTCTAGGTAATAGGCAAGTCTGGTTTCCCTAACAGTAATTCTCTTTTTATTTTTCAATAGAGCTAATGTCTATAAGGGTTCCTGCCTCATCATATGTCTCTGGGATTTCATGTCTATCTGCCCCCTCACAGCCATTCCTTGACACTAGGACTATAATCGTTCCCTACCCTTTGACCATGGCTTTTTCAACTCATTCCCCCATATCTTCAGCTCTGCTGACCTTGTCCCCCATGCCAACCCATTCTCTTCATACTCCTTTTCAGTCTTCTCTCTGGTGGGAGAGGTGGAAAGTGGGAGAATCTTTTCAATATTTTTGTCGGTGGTAATTCTCCCATTCCACAGCTCCACCAGAGAGCTCATTCACCATGAGCATGGAGTTGTGATTTAGATCAGAATTTTTGCAATAGACTATATATTGTTTATTGTGTGAGTGGCCAATACTTCTAGTCACAGAGTCATATAAAAAGCCAGCATCCAAAGTAATCACAATTAATAACACTGGTCACTGGCCAGGGGATTTTCTTTACTTTGAATATTTGTGTCAAGTGCCAAGAAATAAAGGAAATTCTTTGGTTCCACAAACCAGAAGTACTTGAAGTGAGTAGCCTTTCTATGGGGTTGCTAAGCAGCATATTTGTGTTCTTGGAGAGAATAGAAGTGGTGAATTTTGTTTTCCCTCATTCTGTCCTGAAGAAGAGGGAGACTAATCAGTTTTTCCAAGTTTGCCCAGTTGAGAAGCACTCTTGAAATATATATACTCTCAGTAAATGGGCTCATATAAGGAACTGAGTCTTAAAACATTTTAATTTTATATTTCTACAAGGAGTGAACCCTCATTTATCTCTCTCAGTCTCTCTCTAAAGAAACGCATATTATTGAAGAATTAAAAATACGTTTTGTCATTCCCATCCATTAAACTCCTATTCCCTTGCTTCATCATGGTATAAAGACAATCATGGGTTCTTGAAGGCCATGACAATGGAACACTAGTTCTGGAAAAGCTTTGGGTGTAGTCATTTGAGGACTAATCTAAGTTCGTTCCCAAATATATCATTAGGATGATGAGATTCTTCTGCCACAACATTATCAAACAATTATCAAAGACTATCTACAATATTATGAATAGCTTACAGTCTGCACAAGTTCAGGCAATACCCACAACAGTGACATCCTGGATCCCTAAATTACTAAAAATCTCCACGCACTCTGTGGTAAGGGTCAGAATGGAACCATACAAACTCCATTGTGTTCCAGGTTTGGAAAGAGGCCATAATACAATGTCTCTGTTATGATGTAACCAGTACTGATACCACACTGGACATTTCTATCTTTGTTCAAATAGCCATACCACTGCTTCATTCCATCAAGTCTTCTCTCCACTCCCAGTTAGCTGTTTGTGGTCTTACTGGGTCCAGTCTGTAGGCTGAACATTTCATCATCCTTTTTACATGCCCCACTCAACCTCTTTTTGAATGAAAGCCTTTCTGAAATATATCTGACTTGCTTCATTTGCAAGTGGTCCTACATGTCATCTTTTCTGCTGTGTGTTCTCTGACTTCAAGATTCTGCATTTCCCATTTTGTAAAAGTGGATGTGGAGTAAGGTACCTTAGACTCTAACTCTTGGAGCTGTCAGAATGTCAGAGCCGGCCATGACTATAGAAGGTCAGAGCCAGAAGGGACCTTAGAAATTATCTAGTTCAACTTGCTCATTTTACAGATGAGAAAACTGAGATGCAGAGGGGGAAAGGACTGTGTCGAGAGCTTCGTTCTTTGGGGACAGTGCAGTGACAGTTGGGCTTTGTCCTGTTGGAACAGCAAGAATATTACCCTGCCAAGAAAAACAGAACCACCCAGGAGGTCATTACTTTCGCTGTTGTGTTGTTATTGTTTACAGTTAAACATTTGTCGAACATCAGTAGTCAGCTAACTGCTGTGTAGAATCCAGAATCAGACATAGCCCCTGCCCAGGGAGGCGTTTGTAGGACATATCATTAAAGGACCTCAGAATTCATCTAGCCTATTGTCCATATTTTACAGATTGAAAGCGAGGCCCAGAGACATTAAGCAACTTGCCTAATGTCACCCAGGCAATAAGTAGTTAAATCAGGATTCAAACCCACATGCTCTGACTCCAAATCCAATGCTCTTTCCACTCTGCCATGTCAGTGGGAGGATCCAGGGAAAGAAAAACAAAGGGAGAGGAGAAAAGCTGAATGGGACATCAGCAGGATCCGAGAAAGGCAGCATGATTTGGTGCAAAGAGCACAGAATATGGAGTTAGAATACCTAGGTTTGAACTGTAGCTCCACCACTTATTGTATGACCTTGGGTAAATTATTTCACCTTACTGAGTCTCAGTTTCTTTATTTGTAAAGTGGGAGGAAATACTTTCACTTTTCCTACTTCATTGGTTTGTTCTGAGGAAATCAGTTTTTAAATGTAAAGTTATTGACGTTATCTTTGTGACTCTGGGGTTGGATGTGACATTGTAGTCACACAGCTCACCCAGGGAGAAACCTTGAAGTCATCTCTTGGGCCAGCGGTTTGAGTAAGAAAGAGCTGGGGAAAGGCCAAGTTAGAAACCTCTTGGCCTTCAGTGAAGCATTAAGCAAGAAGATATGTGTAGGCATGGGAACAAGTTGACCTGGGCTTCTCCTCAGGGTGGCAGCTATGGCACCCCTATCTCTTCCTCTGACTTCTCTTTTCCTCTCTTTTTTCTTTTTCCTTGCTTGTTCCCCCACTTTGGATTTCTCTAGTTGTACTTCCTCTTTCACATCTCCCCCTTTCTTTGCCTATTCCTACGCAAACTCACCTTCTGCTCATTGCTTCAACATATTTTGGTCTGAGAGTCAGTCACAGGACCTTCCTTTTTCCTATCTCTGTCTTCTCTAGAAAAGCATCCTAGGACTCACAGTGAGGACATCATAGACTCTCTTCAAGGGCAAAGTAAGTGAGGATACTGAGTGAAGGAACAAATGACTGCAACTTTGGTGAGGCTGATGGGCCTCAGGTGAGAGTGTGGAAACTCTCTTCAGCCCCTGGTAGCTTTAGAGCAATTACATGCCTTCCCAGGAGTGGGAGAATCATAGATTTTGAGCTGGGAGGGACCACAGAGGCCATCAAGGCCAACTCCCTCATTTTACAGATGAGGAAGCTGAGGCACAGAGAGGTTGTGACTTGTTCAGGTTCAAACAGCTAGTAAGTGTCTGAGGTGGAGGAAAATGGGTAGTTGAATTGGTTCTTAGTAGAGTCAAACAATTTAATCACAAAGTTGGAAGGGACCTTAGAAGTCACTTAATCAGTAATCTCCCTCCTCCTCCTCTCCGTAAACCTGGAAAATGATCATTCATCTTTTCAACAATCCTGATATCTAGTAAGCACTTAATAAATGCCTGCAAATTAATTGATTCTTGAAGACCTCCAGTGACCAGGGGATCACAGTCCCATTGAAGCAGCTTGTTCTGCTTTTGGCTAGGAGGCTTTTCCTTAGGTTGACCTGCCTTTCCCATTCTACTTGTTGACCTTAGAGTTTCCCTCGGGTACCAAGCAGCACGAGGGCAAACTTCCTCCTGTTCTCTTCGTCTTACTGGTCCCTGTCTTCCTCCTGATGTGAATCAGGTCCCCTCAGCTTTCCCACTCCTAAAGTATGAATTGAATTGGAGACAGCCCTAGGAGACCCCTCAGCATCTTGTGACTGGAGGGCAGCAATAGGCTGGGCACCTAAGTCCTTCACATTCACACCAGACACTTATGGGCTGGAAATGACACCTGTCCCTTCTCTTGCAGCCACACCCATTCGCCTGGTTCTATGGCCGCAGTCCGGGAGTGGTCCTGTACCCGGTGCACTTTCCTGAACCCTGCCGGCCAACGCCAGTGTTCCATCTGTGAGGCCCCCCGACAGAAGCCTGACCTTAACCATATACTGAGGCTCAGCGTGGAAGAACAGAAATGGCCCTGTGCCCGTTGCACCTTCCGAAACTTTCTGGGCAAAGAGAACTGTGAGGTATGCGGCTTTACTCCAGACCCTCTGCCAGGGACATCCCCCCTACCTGTCATCAATGGGGTACTCCCTAAGCCCCCCACAATCTTAGTGGAGCCCAAGGGGAGCTGCAAAGAGGAGGCAGTGCTAAAGGTGGAGGCTGGAGAATCAGGAGGAAAAAGCCCTGAGGAAGTGGAGCCACAGAACGGGTGGGCCTGCCAGCGATGCACCCTCCACAACACTCCTGTCGCCAACTCCTGCTCTGCCTGCGGAGGCCCACGAAAGCTCTCGCTGCCCAAGATCCCCCCAGAGGCCCTGGTGGTCCCTGAGGTCATCACTCCTGCTGGCTTCCATGTTGCCCCTTCCACTCCCCAACCCAGCCTGCCCACCGATCTCCCTGAGGCTGACTCCACCTCAGCTAACCAAGATCCAGCCACTATGGAACAAGAGCTCCCCAGAATGCCATCATTCAGTCCCTTTTCCCCTACCCTGCAGAACAACCCAGTCCCTAGA